AGACATACACTAGAGTGAGACATACACTAGAGTGAGACATACACTAGAGTGAGACATACACTAGAGTGAGACATACACTAGAGTGAGACATACACAAGAGTGAGACATACACCAGAGTGAAACATACACAAGAATGATACATACATTTAGAGTGATACATTAGAAAAAAGCATGTCTATGCCAACAGCAACAACTAAAACAAGCAAAACCTCTCTCCTTTAGAGAAGATGCACCCAATGAATATATACGGGTGAATCAGGATTGAGTTCAGATGTGGATTAATGATTCAAATAATCTACAAGCATCCTAGTTGGTGAAATAGTTTACAGTGAAATGGTTGCAAATCTCAGAGACTTAAAAACAGTGGCATATACTGTGCCTGAGCCAAGCCATGGTATTTTCAATAGTCTCATATGCATGTGAAAGTTGTACAATGAATAAAGAAGATTGGAGAAGAATTGATGCATTTGAGTTATGATGTGGGAGAAGAATATTAAAAGTACCATGGACTGCTAGAAGAATGAACAAATCTGCATTGGAATAAGTACAGCCAGAATATTCCTTAAAAGCCACGATGGCGAGACACATTAGACATATTATCCGGAGGAACCAGTCCCTGGAGAAGGCCATCATGCTTGGTAAAGTGGAAGGTCAGCAAAAAAGAGGAAGACCCCTCCCCCCCGCAATGAGATGGATTGATACAGTGGCAGCGATGTGCTCAAGTGTAACAACAATTTATGCCATTTTTCAAAATTTAATGGGAAAATGAAATAAAATGGTAATGGAATTTTTTGGAGTCATCTTCATATATCACACACACACTCACGTTTTTAAAAAACCACAGTGGTAAGGCTACAGAACGTGAAAAATCTTAAATAGTTTTAGCATAGCAACAGAAAAGTAGCAAGTTCACTTTTCTAAAAATCTCCCAGGCAAATGTGAGTAACACAGGGGGAAGTTGCTGGGAGCATCCCAAAACATCTCAGTTGATTTTAAGAATGCCAAAAAAAGAATTCAAGAACATGGATGGAATCGTTCTGTAGTGTTTCAGCTCCTCACACTGTTTTACTTTTGTTTTCATCCAAAACTGAAAATAAATAGGTTTTAAAGGATTCCATGCAGCTTATAAGGAATCCTCGGGGTGCAATTAGTTCTTGGCTACCAACCAAAAGGTTGGTGGTTCAAACCAACCTAGTAGCTCTGAGATTAAAGACTTGGCAGACAGCCTGGGAAACCCTGTGGGGCAGTTCTACTATGTTACACCAGGGGGCGCTGTGAGTGGATGATCTATAAGAGTATATA